TTCAGGCGGTGCAGTAAAGAGGGAGCGCAGCACATCCTACTCATTCACTGTAAGAGAATATGTGGGAGGAGGTGATAGCGGGCAAGCATTCACTATGTGCAATGTTCTACTCGACAGCAAAATTTAGAACATGAGGCATCCTCAATATGCAGAGGAAAAATATGACTGGCAGCAGACAGCTGCGGTTTTCCTTCATTTAGGATTAAGACATTCCTGATTAATGAATCATTTAGTATTGCCCTAAAAATCTATGCTGGGAGGTGGAAATTTGTCCCTCCCATTTTTGTCAGTTCAGTCCACTTCCATCTGAAAGCTTGGTCTCCAGAACCTCTCTTGACAAGTTTCCTTACTTTCCTGTGAGAATAGGCAGCCGCTGTCACAGAGAAACCGGGGAGTTCAGGAGATCAGAGGCAAAGCAGCAGTCGCCGCTCTTCTGGAAGCCAGATAACTCTTTTTAAAGTGATAATGTAAACAGCAATCTAGCAGTTGGTGGAACTGTGGGAGTTTGAAGGAAAACCTGAAGAATTCTCCTGCCAACACTGTAAGTTGTATTCTTGTTAGTTTTTTTTATTCATAGAAGCAGTCATTTGGTAGTTCTGGGGTCAAAGCAAATAAATTAGGTGACATGATGCAGTTTTGTGATCTGTGGGCTCTGAAGCTTTAGGAGAGTAACTTTTCAGTACACTGATAGCAGATAAAGGCTTTATGGTCCACAAGTAAAAAATTTCTTTGCCACAAATTGTGATAAATGTTATCTGTGAAACTATTTCCTCATATCCAGAACTGATGTACTGCACTGTATGAATGTGTTCATGTTTAATTCTTCCTTCCATTCTTTCTTTTTTTTTTTCTAGATTTAACATTTATTGCTAAACGGGCCTGTCAGCAGCTGTGCTGTCAACCCCAGCTGCAGAGGCTTTAAACAGCTGTTTTCAGTTAATATCACTATCTAGAAACAGTACTTTGAACAGACATTTGTTGACTTTAGATGTGGGCAGCACCGGATTTCATATGTGTGCGTGGTGATATGAGTTATAGACAGCCATAAAACTGAAAAGGCAGGTCGTGACCCAACCCTTTCACGTATGCAATAGATTGTTCCTGTTCCCTTTTGCACAATTTTATGTTAGCTCAGGTTTAATGATGTTGTTAGCTTTCTGCTAAATGAATTGTATGATAAATGGAATTGTTTTACTGCACTAAATCTGACTATTTTTCAATTTGTATATGTGAAGTTTTAGCACAAATATGGGTGGTTTACAGAAGGTTTACAGCAATATTAAACTGAAAATCACCACTTCATTTTCCCAGAGTCTTGGTTTGAACATATAAGGGATCTCATAGGCAGACCGCTACCTCAGCCTCAGTTACAGTGAACCACATAATAACCACTAGACATGGAGGCCATCCAAAGACAACCACAGTAGGGAGTACTGCCAGGAGTCCGATCCACTTAGGTAAACAAAGTAATTTTATTCCACAAAGCTGCAATGTGTGTGTGTGAGCGCACACTTAGGCACAGATCCAACTGTAACAATGTAAATTGTTTCAGGTTCAAAGTGTGCTCTGTTGTTGCCACCCACCCTGCTGTGCGAATAGAGCAGGACCATTTTTAGCAAGTTGTGGAGTGATATATTCTTTGTGAAGTTACCATAACAATGGCATTGTTTTGTTGCAAAAATAAAACTGTGTGGTGCAAGAGCTCTTCCTTCTCCAGCCTTCCCTGGAAGGTTGATGCAAAAGCTCTGTGTGTTTAATGCAAATGTGTACAGTATTCCTGAAAGTTGTTGATTCCAGTCAGGGAAGTGCAGTTTCACCTCACTCCACTCAGTAACACTGGACTAGTTTGGAAACAGACCGTTCCCAGGAGGACAGACATTTAATGCTTAGTCCAAATGACCATCAAGTTAGAAAGCACTATTCCCAAACATTAACAGAACAATCTAACCAGATTTCTATCAGTTATATCATTTTTCATGACAAAATGACTGGAGAAAACACAGAAAATTATCCGTAAATGGGTCTGCAGAACATTTACTCTGTGAATGAGTTTTTAAATATGTGGTCAAAAACTCTTTGTGGACAGACGATGTACAGCTGTGTTGGTATGATGGCTGGGGAAATAATCCAAAAATATTCAAGCATTCAGGTCTGGAACAAAGAAAAATGGCATCCCCAGTTATTGTGCTGCCACATGGGTCTAAACAGTAATAAGAATTCAGTTATAGTGGTCAATGAGTTGATAAATAAGGTCCCCTGCTGTGGCCAAAAAGTAATTAGCAGAAATTGATATTTGAAAAGGAGCTGGCAAAACTCTAAAAGAGTTATGGGCATTATTTCAAACATCTCTGTTGGAAGGAAACATTTGAATCTTCTAGGAAATAAACAGTGACTAGCTTTGTTTAATGACCTAATACAATGATCTTTCAGCTTATTCTCAGTCAAGGAGGCAGAATAGCCAGTGATATAATTTATAAAAGAAGGTCTCCTCATTTTATAGTAGTTCATGCAATGATAGAGTTCTTCTGTTTTTTTGTTTTTCATACAACGAACACCCCCTTCTATGTGAAAGTGGATGTTATCTGGCTCCTATTCACTCGTCTCCTACTTTTGCATCAAACACGAGACAGCATAATGTTTGGTTACCGTGGCAACCGTGCTGGTATGGTCCTGAGACCGAACTGTCGTTTTATCTTGTCAAAATTAGTCATCACAAAAATGTGCATCTTTAGCTCTGGATGATGGCAGATCCTGATGGGTGGCAACAATCATCTGATGATGATTTTAACAAGAAGTCGGCAAAACAAGGTCGAGTAACAAGATCTCAGTGAAAACAGGCTTTAGTCCATGTGTTTTCTGACCTGCTGTGCTATATGTGGTGACATTTGTAGTAGCTGAGAATACAAGCTGAATTTAAATGATCTTCCTCCTGACATCTCAAATATCAGATGACATTCAGCTTTCAGAGAAAGAGACAAACTTAATTATTTCTTTGCAGATAACATGGTATTTCAGATTTTTCCCTTACAAATGGCAAATACTTCAGCATTTCAGCAAATGATTAAGTACAGTTGTCTACAATTTTAACAGTTATCTACACTTAATACAAAACTCTTACAAAAAACAGCATTTACTGTACCTGGGGCCAATCTCAGATGTCAGTGAGCTGTTTTGTAGTTGTGGCAAAGAGATATTTCCCTTTGAGACTTCTCAGATGGTTCTATTTAAGTAACTGTTTGAGGCCCAAAGAGAAAAAATTTCTTGGTATTTCACAAAAACCAAAGATTAGAGAAACTGGATCCAGATGTATGAAGCCAAACATTTTTATTTTTATTCTTTCCTGTCCCGTTAATCCTCTCAAGCCCTCTCAGATTTATCAAGAGATTCTTAAGAGGGGTCCGACACCTATCGTTCAGATCCACTAAACTAACTGTATATAAAAAATAGTTTGAACTAGTCCCAACTCAATAATTTCATTCATTTTTCTGTGCTGAATCATTCAACTATAACTAAAGTATCTACAATGTCAAACTTGATACTTTGAATAAAACTTATATCTGACTTCTTATAGTAAAGGGCTGGGTTGTGTCAGAAAATCCCTCTAAAACTGATTTAATTACATTCAAAGGTTATTTCTAGTGTAGTAGCTGGTGTGTGACCAGACTAGAGTGTGCTTTTATTTATGGACATCACTATCCTCAGCAGTAATCAGTATGAATGAGACATCAACTAATGACACCTGACATTTGGTCAATGCTTCCAAGATAGACTGCCCTCGCTGAAAAGTTCAAATACTCTGCAAGAGTGTGTGTGTGTGTGTGTGTGGAAACCCTGCTGCTCCAAAAACAGAGAGGCAGGGTTTCAGGGTTTGAGGGGTCACACTGCTCCAGAGTGAGAAAGTTCTGTTTTTCATTACATCAACTCCTACATCCACATAGCTGCTCCGCCTCCCAGACTCCACTCTGTTTCCTGGAATTGTTCTATCAGTCAGATATCCAATTCTTCTCTCTCCTGCTTCCAAAATCTTTGTATTTGTGTGAGTGTCTCTGACTGTATGTGATTAAACAGTTAATAACTCTGTGGGTTAGTAGGCTTTAGAGAAAATTAGAGATTCCAGGGTTTCATTGACTTAATATGGAGTGCATCTGTATATTGCTACAATACTCTCTGGAAAGACTGACCAGCAAAGCAGAAAAGAGTTAAGAGGTGGCAGGAAGAGAGGAAGGTGCC